TATAAGGTAACGTATTCTGAGAATAATATGCATATCATACATTATATTCCACCAATCACATGATGAGTTGACCTAAGGGCGTGTTTAGTTCCGAAAATTTTTAGCTTTTGGCTACTGTAGCACTTTCGTTTGTATTTGGCAAAAATTGTCCAATTATGGACTATTTAGGCTTAAAAGATTTGTCTCACGATTTCTCGGCTAACTGTGTAATTAGTTTTTTTCGTCTACATTTAATACTCCATGCATGTGCCGCAAGATTCGATGTGACGGTTACTGCGCAAAAATTTTTGGATTCTGGGGGAAACTAAACGGGGCCTAATTTTAATAGTGGGTACATACACGCGTCTTTTTCTACCAAGTTAAACCGTCCTACTACAGTTTCTGGATCCTTGCATTTGTAAACTGAAGGAGTACATATTTAGCAACTACTCCCTCCCTTCACAAAAGAATGCGATTATGGAAACCATGCCGGTCAAACTAGTTTAAGTTTGATCAAGTTTAAAATAAATAATCAATATTAGCATTTATATCTCCAAATAAATTATTATGAAAATATATTCTATAATTAATCTAATGATACTTATTTTGTCTCATGAGTGTTAGCACTTTTTCATAAAAAAAATAGTTAAAGTTTAAACTGTTTGACCCCTCGAAATATGATAATTGTATTCTTCTGTGGATGGAAGTAATATTATTACTGGGCTCATGAGACTACGAAACACCTTGGCATATCTGTATGTATGTGACGTTTAAGCAAACACATCTCTAAACAAATGTGGTCGATGTGGTGATATTCGGCAGGCAACCATGCAGGCCCAGATTATAAACTTAGCGTAGGATGGCGAGAGGAAAAATAATGCATGCTAACGGGCACTCATGGCTATGGGCTGTGGCTCCCGAAGTGTAGAAGTGGCGATCACGATTTGGTTTGACTGCAGGAATTATTGGTTTGGCAACTGGAAACAGGGGAGCAGTCGGAGCACGGAATTCATTGGTTTTGACAATTAATTGGAGAGATCGATGGTGGTATCCATGGTACATGTGCACACTTGTTTAACAATATAATGTATTGATCCTCTGTCGACTAGGAGTAGGAGCACGACATACATACGTACGTGCAAGACGCTTTATTTATGCCGGTATATGCTCCTTCAATTCAGCTCGTACTACACGGTTAACACGAAATGCTCAATTAATCACCAGCCTATTTATTTATAATTACAAACGCATGCATGACCTTGCTAGCTAGCTGCTGGGGCTCTGGACAGTACATGAACGTCGTCACCACATGCATCCTGCCATGGAAGCCGTCGGTGGGAGTTCATATTGATTGATTGAATTCGATCCCCCCGATCAATCATGCATTCTGCGAATGAATTATTGAATGTGCGTCGCCCGTCCGGCCCCATTAGTTGTTCAAACTGTATAGATCCGTTAACCGTTTCTTTCATTTTCCCAACCCCAATAGACAGTGACGTCCAATCCAATATAATAGCCGTCCACGGAGCGGAAGAAGAGAAGAGAAGAGAAGAGCGAGACCCCGCCCCATCAGTGGAGATCTCGTGTCATGCATGTCTCCGGTTAATCCTCACGATTATTTTTCAGGGAATGATGATCTGATTACGTACGAAGTGATGGTCCCGATGGATCGATGCATGCAGGTACTACTGCTGCTGCTGCTGTCACTAGTTTTGAACAAAAATAAACCAAGCAGAGAGTCGCATGCATCATGCATATCACAACTTGACCACCATCCACGCACATGCATGCAGAATTTGAAAATGGTCCACGCAGAGACGGTGAGGATGGTGGATGGAATGCAGAGAGAGAGAGAGAGAGAGAGAGAGAGGCGATCCCCAATCACATCAGACGGTCATGGATGGTCCTTATATATATTAGCTTCCGTGAACTGTATGATATCATTCCTGGTCCTTGCCTTGGTACGTACGTATGACGACACTAGCGTTTATTCCTCACCAACCAATTGCGTAGTACTTTACGTGCTGCTCATGCCACCCAGCCAACCAATGCAAGTGCGTGCTGCATCCATGATGAGATAGCTAGTCGATCGAGTTGCATGCATGCACGGCAGAATTAGAAACTAGGCGCAGTACTAATCCGTAGTTTAGTCAATACTCCTACTCCGTACGTATATACTTTCTCCGGCGCAACGTGCTGTTTGCAAGTGCCAAACATTAGTACTTCTTCAGGCGTGCTCCTACCTACTTAGCTCCTCGATCTGCTTCGTTCTTCCTCAAGCAAGCCCTGCATGCATGGTCGTGGAGATGGAGATTACCTTTGTTTTGTTTTTGTTGCGTTGGCAGGCATCGGAGTTGGAGCTTATGAGCATCATCAGATAAAAAAAAGTCACGGTCTCTCCTGGATTTTTATTTAGGCGCTGTTTAGTTTTCAAAAAAAAAAATTTGCCTCAGTAAAAGAGCATGTTTGGACATATGTATAGAGTATTAAATGTAGACGAAAAAAAACTAATTGCACAGTTCTCGGCAAAATCGCGAGACGAATCTTTTAAGCCTAATTAGTCTATGAAAAGCCTTAAGTGCTACAGTAACCCCACATGTGCTAATGACCGATTAATTAGTATCATTTGATTCGTCTCGCAGTTTCCTAATGGGTTCTGTAATTTGTTTTTTTTATTAGTATCAAAAACCTTTCCCAACGTCTTTTCGATACATTCGATGTGACAAAAAAAAAATTTAGCTCTCCAACTAAACACACCCTTAGTTTACGTACCTGTGACTTGTGAGCGCGAGATCCTCCTCGTCCTTGCTTGTGGTCCAGAGCTCACGTTCTCTTCCATGCACTCACGCGCGCAGATCCAGACGAGACGAGGTGTCTGTGTCGGCAGCGCCTGCGCGCGGGCTATATTTAAGCCTGTTTGGGTAAATTTAATAGCTTTTAATTACTTTAGTAACTTTTCAACCAAACGCTACGACTAAAAGCTATTAAAAAGATTTTAATCTTCTCTAGCAACTCTGGAGTTACTAAAAGTGATTAAATCGTTTAGTAGCTAAATTTTAGCTCCAACCAAACCCCTTGTAATTATTCCCAGGGTCTTCGGTAAACTTTTCTTTCCCTGCGGCACCTGCTTCTGCTTTACCTAAGCTTGGAGCTGTCACAGAACAGTAGTCAGCATACGCATGTGCATGATTAAATTATGCCAGTACTAGTGCACTTCTCTAGTAGCACTAAGAACACTCTGGAAGACCCAGCCATGTTCCCATGACACAGTTAGTCTGTTCGCTTATTGGTTTCAACCAGTCCAAACCAGTCAACTAACCGTGTTTTCCTCTCACAATAAACCAGTACCAGCCAATCCAAACCAGTCCAGAAACCAACCAGCGAACAGGCCCAGTAGCTTGTTCGCTGGTTGGTTTCAGTCAGGGATTATCAACCAGTCACCAGCACTAGTCGGACTTATCAACCCAGAAACCAACCAGCGAACAGACCGAGTGACAAATTAGGAGTACACCTACAGGACGATTGTTTCTGTAGTGACGTACGAGTACTACGAAGTACGTTGTCGAGGCATGATTGGCGTGACAGTGCGATGATTAGAGAGAACAACGAAGATGGTAAAAACCCTGCCCCTGAATCCCTGATACTCCTACAAAACATCATGTACGAAAAGGACCGTGCCTTTCCTGCTTCCCGTGGGTGTTTTTGTTTGGCCTATCATCGAGGTCCTAAAGTATTTTCTCGTTCCAAAGCAAGGCAGACAGGGATTGGGTATTTTACATGAACATACCTCAGTCTAGAATTTTACTTTGTGCTATTCTAGCTGCCATGCAACTCCAACACAAGATCCTACGTACGTAGTAGCTGCCAAATTCCATGGTTCCAACTTCCAAATCTCCACAGCGCCGTGTTACTCAACCATAGCACCAAGTGTTACTCGACAGGCTCTTCACTATGATGCACTTCGTTTAAGCATTTGAGATTGTTTCACAACGGTAAAAATTTGAATTAAGTCTTTTTTTATTTGTAAACTCTCCGTTTACTATCTTTTCATGCGTACTTTTGTATATCCTATAAAAGAATTCTAGAGCACCAAAACTTGTGAAACTTGTTAAATTAAGACCATCTTGCTATGATACACTATAAAACGTTAACATTTTATTATATTTTGGCGATCATATTATTTGAGTTAAGAACCACCAACAGACACATGCTAATTTTGGAGTACCTTTTGTACTTGTGGCTAGATTAGTTGGAAGCGGGTCATTTGTATATATGCGACTATATGTTGTTAATTATCTATTGCACATTATTATATTGCACGGTTTGAAGTATTTATACGCGGTTCAATTCATTTGGTCTCGAACTATTAAACCAGCTCTTTAACCGGTTCTTTATGGCTGGACCAGTGAAACGATGACATCATCAATTCAATGTCTGATCAAGTCCTAATAACTATTGGTTAAATAGCCATGCTATTTTTTTCTAGAATAAACCCACGCAAGATGGAGCGGGGGAGATGTGAAAACAGGAATAATCATGTGACAAAGAGGGCACGAAAGTCCAAGCAAAAAATAGCTTCACCCAAGTATCGACGTCTCAAACAGTCTTGAAGATGAGAAAAAAAATATTATTTTTACTGCTCACCTATGTGTATATCAGTTGCACTAACTAATCACCTAAACAAGCTTATTACCACCCAAAGCCCCAAGAAACACAATAATGGACAAATGCTGCATAAAAAAAAAAACTAACAAACATCTACACCTTGCACGCTGCTTGCTCTCATGCTTCATGATGATGCCCTCCGATCCACCATTGACCCTCACCTGGTCACTTGGCATAAGCCATCCGATCGAAAAGTGAAAAAAAGAGAGAGAATATATGATTTGCTCTAGTTGTGGCCGCATCATACATTTGGTCGATTTCTGCTTGCTACATACACCGACATAACCCGAAAAGGAAGAAGAAGAAAGGAGTACAGTAAGAGGAGGATGAATGAACACATGCACGCACGGCGACGCTTAGTTGTTGCCGCCGCCGTTGGCCTTGGCTTTGGCCTTCCTGAGGTGCGCCATGGCCTTCTTGAGCGTGGGCCGGAACCTCTTCATGTCCAGCCGCACGTCCTGCTTGTCGAGGTAGGCGTCCTTGAGCGACTCCCAGCCCTTGCTCTTGATCCCGTTGGGGTCCGTGAAGATGGGGTGGTCGCGCGGGTACTGGTCGATCAGCGTGCTCTCCTCCGGCGTGATCCGGTACTCGAGGTAGCGCAGCCCCATGTCCCTGGACGGGCCCCGGAAGTAGCCCGCCACGAACTCCAGCCCGCCCAGCGGCACCACCTGGATGACCACCCCGCCCGTCGGCACGAACACCATGTTGGTGAGCCCGGCGCCGTGCACGCCCATGATGGCGTCGCAGCTGTTGGCCAGCTCCGCGAAGGGCGCCACCTCGTGCGTCCCCTCCGACACCACCACCTCGAACCCGAGCCTCTCGGCGCCGCGGACGATCTCCTCCGTGTTCACGAACCGCCGCGTCCGCGCGCGCGCGATCAGCAGCAGCCTCGGGTGCTTCGTCGGGTCGGCGGCGGCCACGTCGCGCGGGAGCCCGTAGGTGGCGCGCATGAACTTGGTGAAGTCCAGCATGGAGTAGCCGTTGGGCGCGCGGCGCGGGTCGATGCTGAAGTCGTCGTGGCTGGTGAGCCCCACCTGGACGTGCCGGAAGCAGTGCACGCGCGGGTCCTTGTCCAGGTCGACCAGCTCGTAGTTGGAGATGGCCTTGAACACCGGCTCGAACTTGCCCACCCACCACGCCCGGAGGTCCGTCACCAGCAGCAGCACCTCGCCGGAGTACTGCCGCGCCGTCAGGAACAGCGGCAGGATCACGTCCGTGAACGCGTGGAAGTAGTTGCCCGTGTACCCGCGGTCCGAGAACACCAGCGCCGGCACGTCGTATCGGTCCGTGCACGCCGGCGCCTCGCCGGACACTGACTGCACAGTCACCACGCGGACGACGTGCATCGCGTTCGGGTCAGCCTTGCGCGGGTACGGCTTGATGCGCCACGACTCCGCGCGGAAGGTGCGGTCGTCCGCGCCCGGCGGCGCCACCAGCGTGACGCTGGCGTTGGCGCCGAGCACGCGCACGTCGCCGTCGAGCTCGCACCAGTCGATGCGGCGGTTCGAGGTGATGTCGCACAGCGGCTTCCACTCCCGCACCGGCGCCTCCGAATCTTTGCAACCATTAAAAAAATCAGTTAAGCACGTTGCTTGTGAGCAAATCATGGAATGACCGGCTGGACAAGAAAAGGAACTCCAAAAGAGTGTTTTTTTTTTCAATAGCAGCAAAAAGAGCTTGACGGTGAATGAACAAGGTTCATGGTAGACCACCGTCCACCGGACCCTAGGGAATTATGATCGCACGAGAGGCCTAGAAACGGGGCAATCCATCAGCTATTGGAACGGGATGATGCGGCCTACTAGTACGTTGCTCTCATCTCAAGAAAGGCGAAGAAGATGAGACGGAGCGGCACGGACACAGAGGATAAGAGAGTAGGAGTAATCAAAAGCAGTGGTCCAAGAGCAGCAACAGCATCGGGCCCTGCGTTGAGATACTTACCTCTGTCCGGTGAAGGAAGTAAGGTCTTGTTTACATGCCAAAAATTTTGACAAAATAATATTATAGCAGTTTTTATTGTTATTTAGCAATTAGTGTCCAATTATAGTCTAATTAGACTTAAAAAAATCATGAATTTCGTCTAAACTGTGTAATTAGTTTTATTTTTTATTTATATTTAATGCTTCATGTATATCAAAGATTCGATGTGACGGAAATCTTAAAAAAATTTGCAAAATTTTTTGCAACTAAACTGGACCTAACTGTGCAGTGCCAGTTAGAGTGCTTTTTCTAGTAAATACTATTCATATTTATAACTTCAAATTAATTTATTATAAAAATAGATTTCGTAATTAATCTAATGATGTTTATTTGATATTATAAATATTTATATTTTTTTAACTATAATTGGTCCAACTTGAAGCGCTAAACTAGGACAGTGTTCCAGAAGGCTGCAAAAAATTGCGCGTGGTGGAAAACGCTACGACTGGTAGTCCGACCAATATGCATTTTGCAACGACATGCCTAAGACCCTGAAGAATTGCACGGACGGTCTTTTCTCTTCGTCGTCCCTCACATTGGTTGGGTTAGCAAGCTGCTAATGGAGTAATTTGATGGGAGTGAAAACATCTTTTTACAACAAAAGAAGAGAAGAATCAGGGAGGATACCTGCTTGCTTAACCTCTGGAACCGCTGGAACATGCTGCTCAGCAAGAGCCTTGACATCCTGCATAGCAGGAGGAATCTGCTGCGCGGGAGCAGGGAGGATGGCAGGGTCAGAGTGAACCACAGAGGGTGAGCTGCCATTGCTGCTGCTTGTGGTGGCGGCGGCGGCGGCGGCGGCGGCGGAGGAGGAGGAGGAGGCGTTGCTCCTCTTGGAAGGATTGGCAACAGCATCCTGCACCTTCAGCTCCTCGTCCTCAAGAACACCTGACCAAGAACACAGCACCTCGTTAAAATCCTGCATTTCCCCTTCCTTCCCAAAGTGGGAAACCAACAAACAAACAAAAGAGCGAGCTATGCATTTATGTTGCTTGAAAGAGTGATACCAATACCAGTAAGTTAGCGAGCTATGCATTTATGTTGCTTGAAAGAGTGATACCAATACCAGTAAGTTAGCAGTTGGAGGTTGAGTGATTGCTTTCTCACCTGATTCTTGCGTGCTGTTCGCGGCTTCCTCTGACGACACGGGGGGAAGAAGACCGGCAGCGGAGGCGTCATCGTCCTTGGCAGGAACCGCCTCGCCCTTGCCACCCGCTGCGGCAGGATTCGCCGCCGCGGAAGATGCATCACCGCTGTCCCCCACAAAAGTCTCGTCTCTCCTCGTGTCCTCCAGCGGCGCATTGCGTCCGGAATCTGATGAGAGGAAAAAGAGAACCCAAAGCGATTAGAGGGGGGGGGGGGGGAAGGGAGGAACGGGGAAAACCCAGTCTTTTTATCAGATTTTGGGCTTTGCGTGCAGCGGTGCAGGACGGTGGGAGTACAGGGCACACGAGGCCGGACAGTTTGACCCCATGGAAGGGCAAGCACGGCCACTCAATCTCGAAACAACAGGCGATGCCTTGCCGGCGGTGTTTACCTGGCGCCGAAGAGGAAGCCTTGCCGTCGTCTTTGTCGAGCACCTCGGCGTTGCTCCCCGCCTCGGACATGGACAGCGCGTCCGGGTCATGCTTGCCCAAATCTGAACGTGAACAAGATCGTCAGGTCAGGTCGTGGATTGGTACAGTAACCTCGTTACTGATGATGGGATCAGTTAATGTGAGTAGGGAGTTCGCCCTGTACTTGGAGGAGATCCCAGGGATTAGCTGACGGCTCACCTAATCGCTGCGTGGAGTTGGAGGTGTCGGCGGTGGCGGCGCCCACCAGCGAGCTGATCCCAGCCGCATTGCTGGAAATGGGGCTGACTGCTCCAGCAAACATTCAGAGAGTCAGCAGGCATGGATTGCAACCGGGAATGGGATGGGACGGAGAGACAGATGGAATGAGCTGCGGTGCAGCGGCTTACTCATGGCGATGTGGATGGCGTCGAACTTGGCAGTGGAGAAGTAGGCGCAGGTGACGAGGAGGAAGCCCGCGACGAGGGCGAGGCCGAATTTGCGCGGCTCCACGCGGCTGAAGCTCTTGACCAGCTTGCCGCCGTCCTGGTGGGCGGCGTAGCTGTACGGCAGCTTGCCGCCGCCGTCCATCCCCATGCCTCACCTCCCCTGTCCCTGCCCCGGCCCCCTTCTATCTCCAGAGCAGTAGCAGCGGCAGCAGAGTAGCAGAACCTCCCTCTCTCGTGAGCACGCAGCACGCACGGCACCTGCTGCCCAGCGGCACACAGGCAAAAAGCCCCACGCCGAGGCTAACGCGGCGAGGCAAGGCGAGGGGAAGAGGTGGGAGGGGGAGAAGAGAGGAGCCTCCGGGAGGGGTGGCGTCCGTTTCGTCCATCTCTTCACCCCCCTCCCCGCCACCTCCATTTATTCCTCTCCATAAACTCTGCCTGTCATCATGGCCCTCCCTGTTAACAGTAGACTGCCATCCCTAGTATTTTACTACTTGCGTTTTTGGGAACCCAATTTTCATGTCCTGCCAATACAGAAGGCAGCTGGAGCTTTCAGAGAAAAAAAGAGAGTATAATATTAAAAAATGAGATGGCTGGCAAGTGTACGGCCTGTTCGGGTTGATAAGTTCGGTCGAAGCTGGTTTGCGGAAAGAAAAACACTGTTATCTTATTTTGTCTCGCTAATAAACTCTAATAAACTCTGGTGTGTTCTCAAAATTTTGCAAAAATTTTCAAGATTTTCCGTCACATTGAATCTTAGACGTATATATGAAGCATTAAATATAAATAAAAAATAAAACTAATTACACAGTTTAAACGAAATTCACGAGACGAATCTTTTAAACCTAATTAGACTATAATTAAACACTAATTACTAAATAACAACGAAACTACTATAATATTATTTAAAAAAAAATTCGCCGACTAAACCAGCCCCGGCTAAAATCACCGAGGGAACAGGCGGGTAAAAATGAGCCGCTGGGCTGAACCACCGGATGGGGTCCGTCAGTCTGCAGACAGACAGACAGACAGACAGGCTCGCTGACACGCAGTGCATTATTGATAGCTCGAGTAGCCGCCACCGGGGCGATCCATGGGAAACGGAGCGGAGGACCAAGCTCCAGAACGGACGGTGCATGGCTCCATGCGATGCGGGGGGGATTGGGAATCTCTCTCGGAGCCGCCTTGGAGTGGAGGTGAAGATCTATCGTTTCACCGCACGAACGAACGAATCATTGCCTGGTACTTACTCTACTGTCGTTACAACGTGCTCGGTGGTACATGGCCGTCAAGCACTCGGCACATGCACTGCACTGAGGATCTGAGACGATCTCCTCGCGTTGGTACAGGAAATTCGTCGGGGTGCCTACTGGCTTCCCCTGAAATCCCTGATGGCCTTGTGAGGAGAAGGCAAAGGGTGTTCGCCTGGTACACAAAAGCACTATGTACCAGCGGTTCCAGGTGATTCAATAGTGTTTTGTGAGAGAGAATAAGCTGAAATAAAATGAAATAAACCAAGACAAGAACAGCCGAACATGTGTGGACGAGCAAGCGTCCTCTGAATCTCGGAAGCCTGTCTGAATCGCGTGACTCATCGACCCGTTGAAACTTGTCTGCGCAGAGCGAAAATAAGCAGAAAATTGCGTCCATCTGCCCATGCCTGCAGCGTTGGTACAAGACACGGACCGGATGACTTTGAGGTGTGACGAAGCTGCTGAAAGAGAGGGGGATCGCTCGAGCTCAAAAGCCGCCAGCGCCCCGGCGGAGGAACGCCCCGGCAAAAGCGACGCGGGGCCCTTTGTCTTGCAGGTTGACAAAAAATGGCAGTAAACCTTCCCCTCGTTTACTGAACCACTCTCAGCAGATCATCAGATGGGAGCACAACTGTGTCTACAGTACTCGTGGTGAGTGTAATAAAAATGTGCAAGTACTATCTCCCGCAGTGATAGCTGGATGAGTACCGTGAGGTCGACAGTAACAACGCTGCTGGTGAGTGGTGACCGGTGTGGTGAAAATCCTGTAGCACGGGTGCTACGATTAGTAGGGCGGATTCAGTAGCGCCGGAGTATCTCTCGGTAGCGTGTGCTGTTCTGTAGTACTACGAGCACTTAGGAGGATTATTTCTCCCATTGTAATGATTCTGTTGTTTTGTCACGGTTATCAGTTGCTCTCTTCGCCATCCTTTTCTTACATGCTACACGTACTACTGTAGCTGTTCACAGGTGACCTTTTCGCCACTCAATTGAGCAAAGCTTCCAGGCAGGGTGAGTTTTCTCTGTCGGCGTATGGCAAGCTCCACCACGAGCCGGAGAGCACATTAAATCCTGGACACTTGCACAACTGTAGCACATGAGAATAATCAGCATGTTCGTTTCAGCTGAAACGATCGTAGATTATAAGCTAGAAGTACTGCTGGCTAGTTTGGTGTGAGAGAAAAATATTATTGTAGCTTATAATCCACGATCGTATAAGCTGAAACGAACAGGCTTAATGGATCTGTTCGCTGGTTGGTGGTGCTGCTGGTTTGGACTGGCTGCTGCTGGTTTTTTTAAGAAGAAAACACTTATGGCTGGCTAGTTTGAGCTAGCTGAAACCAACAAGCGAACATGCTGAATACACCTGCTAGGCATCGCCACTGTCTTCGCTATACGCCTATACGTAGCATTACTACCATTGTTGGGATACAGGTAGACCAAGCTACTACTACCTCAATTCCTTGCTGTCATGCGGAGAGGAACGAACGGCAGATCGTACGCACGTGTTGTAGCAGCCAGGAGAACTGCGGAAGGAAGGGGCCGTCCTCCATCAGCATGTTCGCTTGCTCGTAAACGATCGTAAATTTCCAGCCGGGAACAGTATTTTTCTCTCACAGCAAACCAGCCAGCAGTAAATAATCCACGATACGATACGGCCTCCCGAACAGGCTGCATGACCATAAGCCCATGTCTACTTCCAACCTAAAATTTTAAAAAGTGCTACAGTAGCCACTCTATCGAATGTTTGTGGTCCGTGCACGGAGCATTAAATGTAGATGAAAAAAACTAATTGCATAGTTTGGTGGGAAATTGCGAGACGAACGTTTTAAGCCTAATTAGTCTATGTTTAAACACTAATTGTCAAATAAAAACGAAAGTGCTATCGTGGCTCAAAATTCCAACTTCCAGAAAGTAAACACGGCGTGAATGATCAATCGGCCACTGATTGGAAATGGATGGTGTGGCATCAGCATGGCACCATGTGGGAGATGCAGTGGTTCCAACATCGCTTCACGAGAGCGACGACTGGCCATTCGGTCGCACTTGCACATCGGCAGGCACTGCTGCCAGTGCCAGTGCCAGTGGCAGCCACGGCCACGGACGGAGGGCAGGAACCAACTTGGAATCTTGCTAACCTTGCTTCTTGCTCCACTCCTCTTCGACAGACCTTCCTTCTTCCGTTCCGCCCTTGGTTCTTCTACGAGACGATCCCTCTCGCTTTCCGATATCCCAACAGAAGTTACAGAACAGAACAGCGCTCAAGATTGAGAGTACTATTTCTTCTGGAGGGGATAGACAAACAATGGTGTCGTCATCACACCACCGTCGGTCAGGAAACACCCCCTGAAATCTTCTGCTCTGTTTGAGAGTTCTCCTTCTCCACATGGTGGTAGTAGCCTTTGGCGAATTCCATTCACCGGAAACACACTTGTGATTCTCTTCTTTGTATACTGATTACTGAACTGAATCAACTGCTCATCGTCTTACTCCTACGCCTACTTCTACCTGAACCTGACGACGACGCCTGTGCTCACCGTCGGTGCAAGCAGTTGGGTCTAGGAGGTGTAGCACTAACACAGCAGCAGTAGCACTGACTGGGATCGGGGTGGTGTCACTGTGTCAGGGAGATCGCGATTGGCGCGGTGGAGACGGCTGCAGCCTGCCTGCCGGCCTATGCCAAACTGGAGCTGCGGAAGGACAGTAAGTGCTTCATTCGCCCCAGATTATAAGTTATCGTAAGAATTTTAGAGAGTTAAATCATCTTAAGTTAGACCAAAATTATAGAAAGAATTACAACGATTTATGACATCCAATAGATATACTATAAAAATATAATTAATGAAGAACCTAATGATACTCAGTTGGTATCATAAATGTTATTATCTTATCATATAGATTTAGTTATACTTGAGATGTTTTGACTCTCCAAGATTCTTAGAATTATTTATAATTTAGAACAGTGGGAGTACGAGGAAACGGACAAAAGCACCCACCCAGCCGTGTCTCCGCCCAGCGCCTGGCTATGATGACTCTACGCTAAACACTTTTTACATGTTTATTAATCATCGTCAAATCAGTGCCATCTACGGGATTCTTAGAGACGTCATCCTTTTCTCCAAAAAAAAACACTTCTATAAATACTTCTATAGACGGCTCAGTTTATAGAGGTGATTGGTGCCTCCATCCACTCTAGAAACCATTCTGAATTCGAAAATTTGGCTGCCTCTTAAAAAAAACAATTATGTACAGTAGTGGTGAGGCCATCGATTGCTTTCATCATCTCCGATTCTTTGTTCCGTATTGATGATATGATATACAGTTTGACATTCCATATTCGTGTTGGTACGAATTTTGTATGCTCGCTCGTCGTGTATACAAACGTGAGTGCACAGTACGTAGTGGTTGTCCAGTCCCAGCAGGCAGCGACTAGCTAATTATGCTGTGCGGTTGACACGGCACAAACAAGAGCCTCCATGGCCAATCAGAAGGTGAATCCATGAACGACGAATAAGAGAATATAGGTACACTATTTGATGGCTCACCGTATTCTGTTTCAATGGCGGTGCTATGAAACATTCACAAAAGGACTATTTTTTTTAAGTCTCGTATTCTTTTTGAGAGACAAAGGAGATATTCTTGGTTTTAACTTTTAAAGTACCACACTGGTAATAGAAAAATGTGTGCAACCGAAAACATAGGGAAACGATAAATTCTTAGAGGGAACATCGAATGCTGGCGCAATACGTATTGCATACGAACCGAACGACCAACAGAAAACACCATGAAATTATTTATCACAAATACTAGCCGAAGCACTGACGGTTGTGAAATACTACATAGGAACGGCCAATTGAAATTTTGCTGCCTCTTTCGTAAAAAAAAACGGCCAATT